TTTCCTGATCTTTGTACTACAATACGAGTTAGTGTTGAGCGTTACAGTGATGCACCAAGTATAACACCATTCAGTAATACTTGCCAAGAATTGAAGAGGTTATTAGAGAAATGTGGCAATGAGGTAGATATTGCCCTAGGAAATCATTCTGATTTGACAAAGAGCATAGAGATATCAAGAAAACTTTACTATGAATGCACTGCATGTGATGGATATGAGCCTCATTACATTTCTCCTGCTTCGGGTCAGACGGCTAACTTGCCTTTTTGTTGTCAGAAAAGGAAAAATTATCGACAACCGACTCCTGAAGAATCTTATTGGTTTCCCGAAGAAGAGCAGACAGCTGAAAATGTAAAAATGCAAGAATCAAATTATTATTGACACATAATGATTTTTTTACAGGTACCTGTCACTATCAGTGAAAAAGATATGGTGGTAATATCGAAGAGAGTTGGTGACAAAGCTGCTACTCTTGCTGCATGCCTGGATATGCTTCAAAAGTTTAAGGCTCTCCAGCAAAATCCAGCATATAGTAATGATCCAATGCTTCATTTGCTTTATGAGTGGAAAATTGGTGGTGGATGTAGAGAAGATTTGATCGAAGCTCTTAAATGTGCTGATCTTCATCAGCTAGCTGATCAGTAAGTGTTTGTACAGTTTGATTGTTATTATTCTATTAATAGAGTTAAAGTCTCTGACTATAGACCTGCCAGTCGTGTAAGTTTGACTGTATGATTCATTTTAAAAAGATAATAATGTAGTTTGTAAGGCATGGTTTGTTTACCTTGGACTCTCTGAGGCTACTAATAAGAATAATTATATTTTTATTTTATATAGCATTCTATAAAATTGAATCAACAATAATTGAATTTGTACCTTTATTATACACAATAGAGACCTTCTGTTGTTAATGTCCGCCAGCCAACAAATGAACAGTGTTCTGATTTTGAACGTTCTCAAGAAATTGAAGCCAAGATTAAGTTAGCTAGGATAGTGCCCATAGTATTTTATTTACTGTACATGTTCTTATTCATTTAGTAATTTAATCTTTGAAATTGCTGAAGCACAAGTTAAAAATACACGAGATTCTGATCAACTTACTGATTCATATATGTAAGAATAGTCTAATTTTGATTGTTTATGCATCTGACGTTGTTTGTATAGTAACCAAAGACATCAAGAAATTCCTGAAGCTTCTAGGTACAAAATGATGTTGCTAAAATTATTTAAAGCTTTATTATTAGGGATATAGAAGATGATGACTTGTTGCGTTCATCTAATTTTTTTAATGCTAAAAAAATCAAAAAATTTGTCGAGATTTATGATGATGATTCAGGGTATCTTCAGTCAGTAATGAATAAATACCGACATAAACGTAGTGATACACAAACCATTGCAATTCAAGTTCTTCGTGCTATGGTTAGAAAAAATCCTAGCATTACTAAAAAAGATCTGGAAAAGAGACTCCATCTAATGAAATTTGAAGAAGCTGCTATTAAGTAAGAAATTTCTTGTAATAAAGTGACTAGTAGATTGATTTGTAGTCTGTCAGAGCCTTCTCAGCTTGCTCAGGCTACTCATGCAACTTCTGCTCAAGCTACTCCTCAGGCTACTCAGACAGATCAATCTAACACAAAATGCTTTGTATTATGAACAATCTTTAGTGAAAGCATATTTAGTGTGAAAGCATATTTAGTATAAACTTAACTGATAATTATTATAGATGATTATAAACTTTTTACTATTATCTACTCTAGTTAATGTTTTGTGTACTTTTTTTGAAAAAAAACTAGTTTTTTGAAATAGCACAGTCTATCGCTAGCATTTTTGCAATGGTAAGAGTGACATTATAATGCTATGGCCATGTGCATGCAGCAGAAGCAGTGACTCCACTACCTATATTGCCACTTGCACCAGACACTGCTTCTTACTAATTGTCACTGCATTATGTTACCTTATTGGCAAGTACAACTAGCAAAATCAGATCCCTTAGTTCAAGTAATAAGATTATGAGAGTTTTGGTGTTTTTACCTTTATTTCAGTGCACCAGTGAAGTGAATGATCAGTATGTTCAATATGTTGTATATATAGCTGGCACTGATGAATTACATTTGGAGCTTTGACTCAAAGATTTGGAAGATGATCACATGCACTTGCATTCTCATTTGACATGTAGTGATATACTTGTATTTATCATGTAGAAATCTGATCCTGTAGTCTATTACTGTAAAACAGTTACTGAAGTCAACCAAATTTACATGCAGGCCTCTCCACTTTCTAAAAAGATATATCTATTGACAAAGTAATTTTACTCACTTTGTAGATCTATATGCAGGAGTTTATGTTCAAGTTTAATTAGCTTAAAGCCTCACAATAATTATGGTATAACTATGTAAATATCCAGTGATACTAAAAGAACCCATCAAGAATGGCTATTATTATGTTGCATAAATAGTTTGAGCTGATTCCAATAAAAAATTAGATTTGTTAAAAAGTTTTAAAGTTGCTCAAAGATTGGAAAAAAGCCCCTGTACTATACAGGGACTTTGGCCAAATTTTGTCAAAATTAAAAAGTTACGTATTTTCCATTTTAATAATTTTTTTCTGATGCATATCTATATAATGTTTTTTATGTTGTGTAGAAAGTTTGAGCTCATTTGAATCAAAATTAGATTTTTTGCAAATTTTTAAGTTTGCTCAAAAGTCAGACCATATGCATGATATTGGCAAAATTTTTTCTTATAAAGGAGAGAATTCTACACTTTTATAATTTTCACTATAATAAAGGTAATCAGGTGTTTAACATCATAATTGTAGTTTATTGGTCACATTCAAGGTAACTACTAGATTTTCTATTTAATGTTGTGTGCTTTTGTTCCTATAATGTCCTGACCATGTTATTGGTACCATTTATTCTGTTCTTAATCGTCGGAGAGGACACATTTTTGAGGAATGTCCACTGGCTGGTACATCAATGTTTGTTGTGAAAGCTTATCTACATGTTAATGAATCCTTTGGTAAGATACACACACTCTTAACTACAAACACTCTGATATGTGCATAGTTTACTGGCCAATATTTTGCAGATGTTCCTTACATAAATTTTTTTTGTTTATTTTACTGTATATGTATAATAAACATACATTCACATGATGATTATAACATGTAAAATTTTGTTTTGTTTATTCTACCGTACAGTAAAAATATTAATGACAATCATTTGCATGTAAAAAAATTAAAATTATTTTTACTACTATTACTAAATATTAGGATTCACTGGTGATCTTCATGGCAGCACTGGAGGTCAGGCATTCCCACAGTGTGTGTTTGATCATTGGCAGTTATTGCCTGGTGATCCTTTGGACAGCAAGTCAATGGCTGGATCTGTTGTAGTGGAAACAAGAAAAAGAAAAGGACTAGCTGAAATTGTTCCTTCACTAGACAAGTACTTGTATAAACTTAAAAAAAATATTTTTGCTGCATTTTATATTTAAAATTGGTTTTAACTTGTAATTTTTACTTTTGTGTGCATTTTTTATAGACTACATAGCCAAGAATTTTACTTTGAATCATAACTGATATCAATCAGGGTCAGCCTTGATACATTCCTGTATCATGGATTTTGGGCAGCCTGCAAAGCAATGAGTCTAGTATGATGCAATCATGATAACCATCCATGATACAACCATGCTGGAGTACGGCCCTGGTTCAGCCAGAGCAACAGACATGATTCAACATTGATGCCAGTCAGGGCTGTATCAAAATAGACATCAGGCCTGAATCATTGATTTTGGGTAGTGGCCTGTATCAGAGATGATAATTCTTGGCTGTGTAGAATAGTAAATGAATTTAATTTAAGACCACATTTTTATGTGTTCAAAATTTTAAATTGGGGGGCTCGCGGGGCTATTGTTGTCCCAAGAAGAGCAGGGCTACTTCTTAAGACGTTTTATAAAGTATCTATGCTGTACTCCTCTTGCTATAAGCAACTTGAGTAAGTTAAACCAAGAGGTTAAAGTTTATTTTGTACGTAAATCAGTAGCTAATTTTAAGTATAAATATGTTAATAGTTTAAAGCCTGGCTTTTCGTTTTCACCACACGAGCAATTTAACTCCAGCTTTTGATTTTAGGTTCCCTGGATATTCTGCAAAAGGCATTAAAAGGCTTCCAGATCAGGTGTTTTGGTAGTTCACAAGTCACAACAGGCCTTTGTTCACTTCACTGGTATGTTTGTTGAATTTATTGTAGATTCAGAATCACTTTCAAGTTGAATCCTTCATGGTCACATTTTTTTAATCAGTGTTCAGCCTTAACTTTGTCAGATTTTATTTTGTGATATTGGCCTCAAGGCTCAAATAATTGGCAAAAATTTTGGCCTGCGATTGGCATTTGGCACTGCTGAGTAGATATAAAGTGTTTTCTGGATTAGTCTGTTACTATGCAGCCCTAAAAGTGATAAAGCTTTGTATAGCTTCTACATTGTATGTAGTATAGTAAATTTTACCCACAAGTGTACATATTGATGAGATATTTGGTTTGGTATGAAAATTGTCCCATGGAAAAAATTTTTCCATATGTGCAGTGTTTTAAAATAATTTAACATTTTATATATAATATAATAGTTCTGCCATTTAATTGATGTAGTTTAAGTGCAGTATAGTTTATCAATAAAGTTTAAGCTAGGTTTACATTTGACAAAAGGACCAAAATTGCATAGGCGTTGACGCTAAAACACTTTCACTTTGAAGTTGGCATAAAATTGGCCAAATTCTAATTTGTATTCATTTACGTTGCGTTTTATGACAAGTCCAAACCAGGCTTTATAAAATGATTACCATTTAGCTAATACATTCATGTGATTTTATTAGCTATCTTCACTAAAATAACAGTCACATGCTTTGTATTAGGTCACTCTATCTGAATGATAAAGCAATGGCACATGATAGGAGGGCAAGACAAGTGAGTTACTTACTATAAAGTTATTTTCAGTTTCATTTTAATCAACATTAATTGTTCTTTCCTGGTCCATCCGGATAACAATAGAAACCAGTTACAGTAAGCTTGCATATCATCATGTCAATGTTATCATGATTATCTGTTTTATAGGCTGTAAGTGACCGTATTAAACTTAATTGTATAATAATTTTTCTTTTACATCATTGTTACACTAGCCAATTATATTGGTAAGTTCATCTCCTATAATTTTCTATCATTATAATTTCATTTCATTACTTCTAGCATCGAAAAGAACGTGTAAGTAAAGTTAAGACATTGACACCACTGTAAAATTTACCTATAGGAATATGAAACTCATGAAAAGAATGAAGAGCTAATCACACCGCAACCCAAAATAGGTAAGGTTTCCAGCATTAATGATTTTGTTATTTATTTGTTTATTGAAGATTATGACAAGAAAGTGGCAGAAAAAGAGGTTGAAGTTGCTTATTCTAGAATAATGCTTCTTGGATCAGCTGGGGTCGGGAAAACATGTTTCACTCGATCGCTTATGGAAAAACCCTTTCAAAAAGATACCGACAGTACTATAGTATCCGAGCTTCATTCTATAGTACCAGTTAGACGTCTGGCTAAGCCAAATAATGACCAGCATTATTATGGTGTTCGTGACAGACACACTCCCAGCAGGAGATCTGATTATGATACACCAGATGATCCTTCACGACCAGATCGATTCATTCCTTCAGATGAAGAGGACTTCACTTCTTTGAGAGGTAATATGCCACCACCAAACCAGCACGATCCACGTGATTTTCGATTTGATCAAAGGAGGCCTGATCAGTACAAAAAACGAGATGATTATCCTTCACCAGATCGCTCTAGGCCAGATGATTATACTGCACTGGATTACAACAGGTCGGATTACTATTCTTCACCGGATCACCGCAGGCCAGATGATTATCCTTCACGAGATCGCTATAAGCCAGATTATTATTCTACACCAGATCATTATGAAAGGTCAAGTCATAGACCAGATAATCCTGAGGATGTTTCTAGTAGCACCAGAAGATTTATTGGAGGGCAACAACCACAACCACATATAGATTTTACTCCCCTGCAGTACCGGAGTCCACCAGATCATCGTGAGAAAGAGCCTCGGGTCAGGGGGGATCGTCCATTTCAGTACAGCGCTCACATGCTTAGTGATAAGAAATGGAAAGAAGTTGATGAAAATGACGAAATTGAAGAAGTTGCTCGTTTAATTGCTGCAGTTTATGGAAAATCTTCTGGCTCTGAAGATCTTCGTACTGCAGTAGCTGCTTCGTCATTGTATAAAGTAGATTCATCACTGAGCCTTTCAGAATTATCAGTTCGAGAAAATCAAAAAAAAGAAGTTGATTTGTTTCTTGCAAAAGCAATAAAACGTGCTCAAGAGATTGAGCCAGTGCCAATACAAGATATAAAGCCTCAGCCATTTATGCACATTTGGGATTGTGGAGGGCAGGCAGTTTTTTTGGAGATTCTTCCGGCTTTTCTTACACCACGCACGTTATTTTTTCTCATATTTAATGCAGCAAAAAGTCTTGATGAGAAATGGGAAAATATTCGTAATACGAAAGGAAATATGGTGTGTGATAATTTAGAAAGCATTTCTACTAAAAATCTGCTTTTTAATTGGATGGTTAATATTCATCATCACTTGGCCCAACTCAATGAAAAAAAAGCCTTTCTCAGCTATCCTCGTATTTATTGCATTGGTACACATGGCGACTTGATAAAAGGTGATAAGCAGACAACTGCTATAAAAAATATTGAAAGTGCTTTATACCGAAATGAAGCTTTTTCTTACCTTATAATGAAAGTTCTAATTGTTGATAACACAACCGCTGGATCTGGAAGCCGTTATGAAGATCAAAATTTTTCAACCATTCGAGAAGAAGTTAGCGACTTCACCTCCAACAAGCTGATTGTCAAGACGCCAGTAAGCTGGGTGCTGTTCCGTAAAGTTATCAAAAGGCTTGGTAAGAAGGTTATTAGTTTAAAAGAGGCTCATGAAATCGGTTTAGCATGTAAGATTCCTCTCAATGATGTTCCTAAAGCTCTTCTTTTCTATCATGATCTTGGAGTTCTCCTTTACTATCCATTTATCAAGGGTCTTAAAGACAGAGTTATCATAAAACCTCAGTGGTTTGTTGAAACTCTTGGAAAAGTTTTTACACTTGAGGGCAAAGAAAACCAAGATGCACAACAAGCTAGATCAATGTGGAGTTTATTACGTGACAAAGGTATTCTTGTCCAGCCTTTGTATCAAGAGGTTTGGGGAGATTGCAAAGAAATTGAGGCTGATGACTTGATGGAGCTGTTGGTTCATTTTCGACTTGCTGCTGAAGTTAAAACGGATCAATATTACATTGCTAATGTTAAGCAATATTTCCTACCTGCTGTACTTAAGTTGTATGATATTTCATCTCCACATTCAATTCCTGATGATCAGCCAGTTGCCCGAGCAACTAACCTTCACATCACTTTTAGCACCGACTTTGTTCCTCCTGGTTTCTTCACTCGTTTTATTGCATCATTTGCCAATGCCTCAGTTAACGCCGCCTCAGCTAACGCCGCCTCATCTTACGAAATTTGCTTCAAAGAAAAGTATGGTGTATTTCGAAACCGTATCATGTTTGGAGATCCAAATATCAAAGTTACTGTCTCTGATTTTAGTGATACAATTCAAGTTAGCGTTGAGTGCTATATTAGCACATCTTTCAGTAATACCTGCCAAGAGTTAAAAAAATTAGTAGAAAGATGTTGCAGTGAAGTAGATAAGTCTCTAGCTAATCAATGTAATTCTTCAAAAACAATTGAAATAAAAAGAAAGTTTCGCTTTGAATGTACAGCATGTGATAAGTATGAGCCTCATTACATTATCAGTGCTGCTTCGGGTCAAACAGCAGATTCACTTCTTCAGTGTCAAAAAAGTAAAATGCGACGTCGACCTACTCTCGAAGAATCATATTGGTTTCCTGAAGGAGACAAGACAGCTCAAAATGTGAGTTAAAAATCAAAAAATTGTTATTTTATTCTTGGCAGGTGCCAGTGTCTATTAGTGAACAAGAAATGCTTATCATATCACAAAGAGTTAGCGACAAAGCTGATTCTGTGGCTGCAGGCTTGAATATGTTTCTGAGGTTGAATACACTTCGACAAGATCATCACGATAATCCAATGCTTCATTTGCTTTTTGAGTGGAATAGGGGAGGAGGACGTAGGGAAGACTTGGTTAAAACTCTTAAGGATGTTAACCTTGATAAACTTGCTGATCAGTAAGTGTATAAATTTTTGCATTATTTATTATTTAATTTTCTTTGTGTATGTAGAGTCCAAAACTCCAATTACATACAATTGTCTAGACCTCCCAGTGTAAGTCTACATGTACACATAGGACATTAAGCTTAGGCTCAGTACTGACTTACATACATGTACAAGCAAATGAATTGAACTACTTGCCTATACTGTAGTAAGGGCCTTGTCCAATACATGTATGTGTTTGCTTTCTTAAAATCTAGGAAGTAGATTATTGCTTTGATCAAATTTTTATTTGTGTTACCATAAAAACCAATTCATACCAAAATTCCCCTATAAACATATGCAGAGCAAATGAGTTTTTAAAATTTCAAAATGTTATGTCTACAAATTACGTTGCATAGCAGTTTGAACTGGCAATTGACCGTAACACTTCAATGCTAAAAACCTGCATCTAAAGAAACTAAGCTGTAATTGTGTTTTTATACATTATACAGGTTATCAGCACAAGTTCTCGTCAACAAACACTTGACCCTCCTTCAGGCGCTGAGTCTTCTGGCATTGAAGGAACTGAACCAATTGAGTTTCAAGTAACAGAAGCTACAAAAGCTGATCAAAGCAAAAAGTTTGCTAAAATGGTCTTGGAAGTGTAAGTTGTGCTTGTTCTTTTGCCATTATTTTATGTACCTCAATAGAATAAAGGAGTATGAAAAAAGTAAAGAACCTGATGATCAAGTTATTGTTAATCAAGGTGAGCATGAAACACAATCAGGAGATCAGTGTCAAGAGCGTAGACGACAAGGAGTTGAACCTCAGCAAAGACAACAACAGCAGAGACAACAGCAGCAAAGACAACAACAGCAGAGACAACAACAGCAAAGACAACAACATCAGAGACAACAAGAAGTTCAAATTCAACAAGGAAGTCAACCTCAAGAGCATGTAAGATGTGGTCCATTTATGCATTGTCTTTAATACAATTACATGTACATCAATAATTAACATGCTTATTGACCTTTATTTCAGATTAGAAGTGACATATCAGATAATGACCTGTTGCGATCGGCTAAATATCTCAAGCCTGAGCATGTCAAAAAATTTGCTGAAGTTTATGATGATGATTCAAGATACCTTCATTCAGAATTAGAAAAATACGAAAACAGTGATGCACAAACAAAAGGATTTCATGTCCTACGTGCAATGCTGAGAAGAAATCCTAACGTTAGCCATGACAATCTAAAGGAGAGTTTATCATTATTAGGATTTCATGATGCTGCAAAAAAGTGAGACTACATTTTTGTTAAATTACTGTGTTTTACTCAACTTTTAGTCTATCACCCAGCACTTGCTTATTGATCTAAAGAGATATCTGGTTTTTATGCAGAAGTTTAAACTTTACTTTTTTGATAAAATGCTGTGACTTTATAATTATAATTTTATAGTACTATTTTTGTAGAAACTTGACACATTTTCTATTACAATAATAGCTCCTCCTACTGTGGTTTTAAAGTTTTCATTGCAACCATTTCCTGTATATACATGTACTTTCATCATAAATGCTCTAACAAGTCTATAATTACCAGAATTAGAGTTTTTATCATAGTATATTGAATCAGGCTAAAGAAGTACTTTTAATCAACAGTTGGATTTTACCCCGAGTGTGTGTAAAATAGTTTTATATTCACAAAACAAACTCTTTTATTACTTAACAGACTAGCTCACACATTACTATTAAACAGTAATTGAACATAATAAAAATAAATGTTAAATCAGTTTGCCTATCATAATACACACCAGTAACTTGTTACAAGTGTCTAGAGCTACATTTCCTCTACATAATTGCTAGGAAACAATCCTTCCTTGCATCCAATTTTACCAGTCCACCATCCAGAAGGATCTGAAATAATTAATAAATGAGAAAAAGTAGTTTTATGGCAGTATTAATTGTCATAAACATTAATAGCAATGTACTGGTAAGTCAGGCCCCGCCTCTTTGTTGCACGGGGTGGCCACCCCTGTGCAACGAAGAGGCGGGACCAGACTACATGTATGTACCAGTATTCAATGTTTCCCACAACATCAGTGCTCATGCAACTTATACAAAGTATAATACTTTCAACAAAAATCACAAGAGAATTCACAGTTTTTATAATGCTCTGATACAGTATACATGCCTCTATACTGTGTGCCAACTTTGAGCTGATTACAATCAAGTTTGAATATTTTATAAATTTTTAAAGTTGCTCAAAAATCAGGCCAACAACCAAAGGCCTGTGACCTTTGGTCACAGGCTAAATTTTGTCCAAAATGGATACAAGAGAGTTCTCCATTTTTATAATTTTGTCTGATACACATGTGTCCTTATGCTGTGTATCAACTTTAAGCTGATTCCAATTACAAAGTGAATTTTTAAATTAATTTTTGAAGTTGCTCCAAATGCCATGTAGTGCTTGTCAGCTCATGAAGCATAAAGTTTAGGAGATACAATGCACCAGAGGAAATAATCATAAATATGCCAGTGAGTATTGAGCCTCAAATTACCTCTCAATGATAACTGGATATAAACAATAAAGGATAACTGCTTAAGACCTGAAAGGTCTTACTAAAAAAGGAAGGAAAAAGTCTATAAAGTAATCTACAATATTACACTAAGCACTAACTTCACTAACCAAAATATTTATAAATATTATGTGCTTTTAGATCACACGCTTTTTTGTAATACCAAAATTATACATTAGAGCTCTGTTTTAATTGTAACAAAGGAAATGCTATCGACTCAGAGAAACCTTCCACTGCACACAATAACATGCAATAATAAATATCACTGCAGTAAATGCATAACAGTACAATAGTAATACAGTATTAATAGTACAAGTACATATATGTACAAGTACATGTACATGTATAATACAATCTAACTCACTGTAGGATCAGCAGTAAGCCATTCAGTAGAATAGAGATACAGGAACTTAGCTTCATCAACAAGTTCAACAACAACACAACTGGATGAGACTTATCCAGCATCCTAAGGAAATAAATTGCACAATATTATAAATGACTAATTTTATATACAGCCCATGGTTTTAAAACAAATCACTCCAAATTTTAATTACATTTGCTGATACATATTGATGTGCTTATGCTATGTAAAAAGTTTGAGCTGATTCTGACTTAATTAAGACTGGAGTACAAACAAGAAGCAACTTCAAAAATTATTAAAAAATTTGGAATCAGCTCTAACTTTCTAAACAGTATAAGTGGCTGTATATGTATCAGGATATGTAATAAAAAATAAAAATTGAGAATTTTCTACTTTTTATTTTTGCTAAATTTGACCAACTATATATACAGTAGTACAGGAACTTTGGCCCATTTTTTAAGTAACTTTAAAAGTTTGTAAAGAATCCAAATTTTATCAAAATGAGCTCAAAGTTTTGAAACAGCATAAGTACATGTTTGTAAATTGACTAAATTTAATCTCATAATAATGTCCCGCATAGTAGTGATATATTAACATTTTAACAATCACATACTCCTCCACTCCAAACACTTTCATAAGATAGTGATAAAGATAGCCATGAATATAAATCAGTTGCACACATCTACTTTTCTTGTACTGTTTACCAAATCAATGAATGGATAAAGGAACTATACTTAAGTAGTACATGTATATGTATCAGGAAATACGATAACAATGAAGAGTTCTATTTTTTATTTTTGCCAAAAATATTGGCCAAAATTGATCGATTAAACATTAAAAACTAAAAATTGAAAACACTAATCAACTAAAATTGGGAGACTTAATGGTACAAAGTCTAACGCTAAAAATGGGAGATCTCAGGAGGCCAGGCTGAAAGACCAAAAGACTTCTAAGTTCTAACAGTGACTATAACTGCATGTATACAGTGTATACCGTATAGCAGGTATATTTTGTCTGGAAAAATGTTAGCTAAGCAAGATTAGAAGTTTTCATTCGTTTTATTTTCGTTCTGAGCAGTCATTTTGCACATGTGGCATTGAAGAAACACCTTTTTCTTTTAGAAAAAATTCATTCCATAAGGAATGAGAACAAAATTAAATTCTAACGGAATATACCCGCTATACGCTACATGTATATGTACACGGTATATGTGTGAACATGTACATGTAAGTGTACCTGTCTTCCTCCCAGTCATGAGGTTTCTTTGTCTCGTTTGGTTTAATGCAATGAGAAGTGCATTTCATTAGATGACCAACAAGATCATTGGCTTGAATCTGTACATAGTAACACAAAAGAAAAATAGTGATGGAGAAAGGAGGAATGAATATACGTATACAATGTAAATGACCAAGAGGTAGAGAGAAGGATAAGTATAGACCATACTAGTGTTTTAACACTAAAGCCAAATTGTATACTAATCTGATGTGGACAGACCTACAGGCATGGAGAGTGGGTTTGGTCGAGCAAGGTTTGGTCACACGAAACTAGCCCAACTGGCCCTTTCTAGTTTGCTATTGGCCCACAATTATTAATAAAATAGTTATCATTAATATTGGGTCAATCTGCTTCACAATATAATGCTAATTATGCTGTTCTTTAAACCTTTAATTAATCCTTATAGTGGATGCTGATAATTAATATTACAATGTAGTGTATATAGGCTTCTTACTTTGTCCTTGCTGCAGTGAGTTCACTACACAGTTGTGAAAACAAGACAACACGTTATTATAGTATAAAATTCCATGCTAGTATAAAATTCCATGCTAGTATAAATAGCAGCATAGATCACTATCTACATGTCGTCATGGTATATTGTTGAGAAGAAGGGGGCGGACTTTCCACGGGAAGGGCTAGGTCTACTTTGTTACTTTCGTCGTCAGTCCTCCTGGCTAACTAGGCCAACCACTCCATCAAGTAAGCACTTAGATTTAAATGGCTTTTCGCACTGGCATCGCAAGTAGATCTAGCAGCCATAGATATGGGATCTTATTCTATTCTAGTCTCGATCTGGTTGAAGCATAGATGCTGTATCTGTGGTTGAAGCCAACCAACGTATGAACCGCGAGGGGCCCACACGTCCCGGAATCTAGTTGTAATTCAATAGAATCCAGTAAAATTCAAGACCTGGAATCCAAGATTTTAAGAATTTTAGACAGTATCCGGAGTTATACAAGTATTTTTGTAGTATACTATTTGGAATTGATATCTTGTACAAAATTTGAGCCCGTGCTGGACTCCTTGGTGTGTGCCGGAACAGGATTATTAAAATGATTATTCGCATTACTATGTATGCCAATATGAAGAGGCCTTAAACTTTTAACAGAATAATGATGGGAAATTAGCCCATTTAGACTGTCATCTAACTCATCTTTATTAATTATGTTACATGTTTTATTAGAATACAAGCAATCATTTCAATCAATTCAAAGAAATGGAAACTAAAAGAAAGGTGAGTTATTCATGAAAGTTACTTTTGTATTTATTCAGAATCATTCCTTCCTGGATGACAATAGAGACGGAGCACAGTAAGTTTACTTTACCTATACCATATAAATATTATAATTATGATTATTTATTTTTAGGCTGTAAGTGCATGGCAGGCTATATTGAACTTAATTGTATTATATAATTTTTTCTTTTTACCTACTGTCACATTAGCCAGCTAGTGATTTGATGGTAAGCTCACTTTTTGTATTTTATTGTTACATAATTCATTTCTTTACTGCAGTATCGAAAACAATTTGTAAGTAAAATCAACACATTAATAACACTCTGGGATGTACCTATATAGGGAGATGAAACATATGCAGAGAAGTGTGAAGAAAAGGAGCTATTAAAACCACAGCCCAAAATAGGTTAGGTTTTCGAAAAATTTACCATTATTTGTTTATTTTTAAAAAGATTATGATAAGAATGTAGCAGAAAAGGAGGTCAATGTTGCTTATTCTAGAATAATGCTTCTTGGGTCGGCTGGGGTTGGAAAAACATGTTTCACTCGATCGCTCATGAAAAAAAAATTTCAAAATAATACTGATAGTACTATAGTATCTGAGCTCCATTCTGTAGTACCAGTTAGTAGGCAACCAAATAAGTCAAATAGTGACTATAGAGGTCAAGATAAATATGCTTCTATTGAACATACTTCACAGAATGATCATAGGCGAGTTGCACATACTGCACCAGCTCGTCCAGTTCAGTACAGGGCTCACATGTTTAATGAAAAAAAGAAATGGAAAGAAGTTGATGAAAACGATGAAATAGAGGAAGTTGCCCGTTTAATTTCTGCAGTTTATGAAAAATCTTCTGGTTCTGAAGATCTTCGTACTGCAGTAGCTGCTTTGTCATTGTATAAAGTAGATTCATCACTGAGCCCTTCAGAATTATCAGTTCGAGAAAAGCAAAGAAAAGAAGTTGATTCATTTCTTGCAAAAGCAATAAAACGTGCTCAAGAGATTGAGCCAGTGCCAATACAGGATATAAAGCCTCAGCCATTCATGCACATCTGGGATTGTGGAGGGCAGGCAGTGTTTTTGGAGATTCTTCCGGCTTTTCTTACACCACGCACGCTATTTTTCCTCTTATTTAATGCAGCAAAGAGTCTTGATGAGAAATGGGAAAATATCCGTTGTACGAAAGGAAATATGGTGTGCGATAATTTAGAAAGCATGTCTAC